GAAGTCACAACTTTTAAAAAGTTGGACTGGACAAAAATTGTCAAGGGGAACCTTTACCTTTACCTAGAAACCATATAAACCTAACCTGGGGTTGTCACAATGTGTTTTCTGGTGGGTTATGGGTTATCTTACATGCATTGTAGTCCATGTTAAATAATTTCTTCCTTGACATTCAGAACAGAAAATCAAAGTTAGCATGCATGTGTATTATATGAGAAATAGACCATCTGAGGGGAAGAAATAAGCCTCTACTTTCTGAGAAGGGATTAGTTTACTCCATTAAAAATGCATTTTTATGCAAATGTGGCAGGGAGGCATAGGCTACTTAGCTGTTATAAAAGGAAGTCACAACTTTTAAAAAGTTGTGAACCACTAATGTAAACACCATACTAATCAAATAAGTTCACTTTCTACTTCATTACCAGGCTGCCATCCTTCATGCCTTTAAAAGTTAAGGATGTGCACTATATCAATTAATTTTATTCAGCATACTTAATTTTGATGTTTGAAGGCCAGAATCTCATTGGTGATTTATGCTTACAGAAGCAAAATCACAAAAATCACAGTACTGTACCAGATTGGTATTCATTAACAGTGGACTGATCAGGTTCCTGGGAATGTGCCATACCACTCCTTGAGATTCAAGGCCAAACTCTGAAGAGATGGGGCATGCTCTTGTGATAGAATTAACTCAAGTGCATGCATTCACCAGCTTTTCGCTTTTTGACTTGCCAATACTATAGAAGAACAACACAAACAGAAACATATGTGTGCTAAATCAATGAACCTGGTCCCAGCTACAAGTGGACAGGAATGAGTGTCTATGTTTCAAATCCCTTCTCTCTCTCTCTCTCTCTGCCTGGTCCCAGCTACAAGTGGACAGGATTGAGTGTCTATGTTTCAAATCCCTACACACACACACAAACACTTTTTTCTCATACAAAACTATTTGCCCTGAGATTTGTTTCCCTAACTGTTAATCTTGCAAAGTATAACAATCCCCTGAAACTGCACCCTGCAAGCCATGTCTGCCTTGTCATTTATGTACACTTACTTCCTATGGAGATGGGACGTGGTGGCGCTGTGGGCTAAACCGCAGAAGCCTGTGCTGCAGGGTCAGAAGACCAAGCAGTCGTAAGATCGAATCCACGCAACGGAGTGAGCTCCCGTCGCTTGACCCAGCTCCCGCTAACCTAGCAGTTCGAAAGCATGCAAATGCAAGTAGATCAATAGGGACCACCTCGGTGGGAAGGTAACAGCGTTCTGTGTCTAAGTCGCACTGGCCATGTGACCACGGAAGATTGTCTTCGGACAAAAACGCTGGCTCTATGGCTTGGGAATGGGGATGAGCACCGCCCCCTAGAGTTGAACAATTGGACAAAAACTGTCAAGGGGAACCTTTACTTCCTATGGATAGCCACAAGAAAAACTATTATCTCATAGCAGCTAGTATACAACTAACATCACTTTTTAACGGAAACCTTCCTTCAGAACATAAGAATGACTGTGCTAGCTAAGAAAACTTAAAAACTGTGAAATCTGTATCATTTATGCTAGCATTCATTCACTGTTACTAGTGCATTTTTAAACAAGGGCCAACATTCTGTTAGTTAAGCCACTGGTGTAACACAATTGTTGTAAATCTTGTCAGCAAATTGCTGTAAGATGTCAGCATAGGTATTTGCTGTTGCATGCCACAACACATACGCCACCAGTGTAACACAATCGTTGTAAATCTTGTCAGCAAATTGCCGTAAGATGTCAGCATAAGTACGGTATTTGCTGTTGCATGCCACAACACATAATTCTGTGCATGTTGTTCCTCTGTTGCTTCCTGTCACTTACACTACAGAACCAGGCTTCAGTATAACTGAATACCAAACAGGGATCGTAAATCATTAATTACTAGTGTGAAATGCAACCAAACACCACTGTCCATTTATCTTAGACTCTTGCATGAATGTTTTACCACGTACTCTCTATATTCTAATTCTTAGGTCTGAAGAAGTGGCCATGTTTCACAAAAGCTTATATTAAAATATAGTAGTTAATACAGTATTTAAGGTGCCATGTGGTTTTTTTGTTTTGTTTTGTGTTTCTTGTTAAAATAGCAAACACCAATGCTAACTTCTTAACTTTCAGCAAGTAACAACTGTGCTAGGTAAAGGTTCCCCTTAACATTTAGTCCAGTTGTGTCCAACTCTAAGGCACGGTGCTCATCCCCGTCTCCAAGCCAGCGTTTGTCCGTAGACCATTTCCACGGTGGGAAGGTAATGGTGTTCCATGGTCACATGGCTGGCGCAACTACACACGGAACGCCATTACCTTCCCACCATGGTAGTACCTATTTATCTACTCGCACTGACATGCTTTCGAACTGCTAGGTTGGTAGAAGCTGGGACAAGTGACGGGAGCTCACTCCATCGCATGGATTTTATCTTACAACTGCTGGTCTTCTGACCTTGCAGCACAGAGGCTGTGTTACACTGATTTAAAAACTCAATGGCATTTTGGCTCTTTAAAGCAATATATTAAAATATTGCTGTTGGAAAATTAAAAAATGAAAAATGAAGTTTTGCAAGCTCTATCGCAAAAGACTAGCTCACCATCAATCCCAGTTAAAAGCCTGGAGCATCCTATCCACCTAACACATACCAGGCATGAGACAAAAAGTGTAAATGTCAACACCAACATATATTATCTAAACACATTAAGATGATCACACAGTCAATCAGAGTCTGCAAAGCTCCAACTAGTTTCAACACAGAACAGAAATGACCAAACAAATATTAGATCTTCTTCCATTACAGATTAATTCTTATAGTGCAACCACAATCCAGCATTTGTGCACTTAGTTCTTAGTTCTATCTACATTTCCAAGTTAAATCACTTATTATTAAACAGTTACACCTGGATCACTGCGTAGTAATCCTTACCACCAACTTATCAGGTTTATAATACTATAGCCCTCTAGTACAGATTACCATGAATATTCACATTATCTTTATCCCACCTCTTCCTTCTTTCAAATTTCACTTTCCCCATTTCACAGCCACTTGAGAGATATCTAGCCTGGGTTACTTACCAAGTTTTTTCCCCACAGTAAAAAAACAAAGCAACAAAAACATAATAGGCAGACTATTCTTATAAATGTTATGCTTACCGTCTGTATACAAAATGCTTTGAACAGTAGCAGTGTAAAACCAAAATTTCCTTCATAAGTTTTAATACCACTTGTTTTCTACAGAACTGGAGTGGTGTACACATCCTTTCCTTTCTTAACATCACGCAACCGCGTGAAGTTCGGCTGAAAGAGTGACTAATCCAAGCATCATGTGCAGTGCATTTTATGCCTGGGGGTTTAATCTGAACCTGGATCCCTCTAATCTTAGTCTATACCAGATTAACTACTTTAAAACAGTAAGGATAAAATAGTATAAGCCACTTTGGATCCTTCAGAAGAAAAGCGACATACAATTATTTCAAATAAGTAAGAATGAGAACGATGGTTGTTGTGGGTTTTTCAGGCTCTTTGGCCATGTTCTGAAGGCTGGACAACCTTCAGAACATGGCCAAAGAGCCCGAAAAACCCACAACAACCATCAGACCCCGGCTGTGAAAAACTTCGAGAATACAAGAATGAGAACGATTTTTAATTACATTTTTCTTGCCCTTCTTCCAACGAGTTTGAAGCAGCTATTACAGGGCTCTTGGCCCCACTTTATCCTCACAAAACCCATATCAAGTTGGCCACTTTTGTGGGTGTTTGCCATGTTACAGCAGTGGGACAAGGGAACACACAGCCTCAGGAGGCGGCGAGCACTCCTACACTGGAGTCATTTGAGAGAAGACTGGACCAACCGCCTGTCAGATCGAGCGCTCCTACGATGGCGGCACTCCAGAGAAGACTGGACCAACCGCCTGTCAGATCTGCTGATAGATTCGGGGTTCCTACCTGGAGCAGGGGATGGGTGGGCTAGATCAGTGGTTCTTAACCTTGGGTTACTCAGGTGTTTTTAGACTGCAACTCCCAGAAGCCTTCACCACCAGCTGTGCTGGCTGGGGTTTCTGGGAGCTGCAGATCAAAAACACCTGAGTAAACCAAGGTAAAGAACCACTGATCTAGCCCACTGGTTCTTAACCTTGGGTTACTCAGGAGTTTTGGACTGCAACTCCCAGAAGCCTTCACCACCAGCTGTGCTGGCTGGGGTTTCTGGGAGCTGCAGATCAAAAACACCTGAGTAAACCAAGGTAAAGAACCACTGATCTAGCCCACTGGTTCTTAACCTTGGGTTACTCAGGAGTTTTGGACTGCAACTCCCAGAAGCCTTCACCACCAGCTGTGCTGGCTGGGGTTTCTGGGAGCTGCAGTTCAAAAACACCTGAGTAACCCAAGGTTAAGAACCACTGGGCTAGATGGCCTTACAGGCCCCTTTCCCACTGCGATCCTGTCTGACCGATTAAGGCAGTGCTCTTCCTCCTCAAAGCTTGCAATGGGGAGCTGGCTTTCAGGACCAGAGCCGACTTTTCCAGGGAGCTTCGGCCCCTTTTTCTCCGCAGCCCTGTGTGCCATCCTCACCTAACGGCTCTCTCGGGCTTGCACGCCCAGCAGGACCCACACAGAGAGAGAGAGAGAGACACCCCTCCCCGCCTTACCCCGACGGCGGCAGCCTTCCCAAGACAGCCGCCCGGCGGGGTGGGGCCTCGCGGAGTTCGAAGCCCCGCCCACCCGGGGGACCCTGAGGTAAAAACTCCGCCGTCGCCAGCCTAATTAACCCAGACCGCGGCAGGCACACTGGCGAACGACGGAAAGCGCCTTCACGGTTCCTCCTCCTCCTCCACCACCACCCCCGACCGCCCTGCCGCTTCCTCCCCTCAAGAAAAAAATAATAATAATAATTCCCCTTACACCTACCGCGTCTTTTCTTCCTTAAGGGAACCACCCCCACACCGCTCCCCTCAAGGCTACCAAGTCCGCACCGCCCTTCCCTCACTCTCACCCTTTTCTGGGCGCTGCTGTCGCGGAGAGATTCTCTCGCGAGTTCTGAGGGCGAGACTTGGTGGGGGGGGAGAGAGAACTTTGGGGAGACGGGCGGGAGGGAGTCCAAGAGGGTGTGCACGCGCGCGCGCACGCACAGGGAGCTTTCCCCCTCAGCGCGAGGCGCGCCAAGGTGGTGTTAGCTCGCGCGCCGCCAACGGTTTTTTTGCTTGGCTTCGCGTGGGAAGCTGGGAAAGGAGAGCCGAAGCGCCCGCCCGGTGGCTTCTGGCTTTTCTCGGGGCTTTTCCATCCGGGTGTTTTGCCGTTTCTCGCTTGCTGACTCGAAAGGGCGGTCGGGCGCAGAGTCTGTGAGGGGAACCGAAGCGCCCTGTTCTCCTCACGCCGCCGCCGCTGTATCTGAGAAGTGGAAGAGGCTGGAGAATTCGCCTCCTTCCCTTCGTAGTTCGGTGTTTTTTTTTTTTAATGTAATGCCCACCGTTCTAGAAGATTCATATACATATTGTAACATGAATACCTTCAAGTCACGAAGTCCAAACCAAAAATAAAAAAACACAACATTTTTCCAGCTTAAAAGCTTAAGAACTCGGTGGCGTGCTAAATTTTCGCGGATCAGCTTCCTCAAGACACACGACAGTTAAATACAGTATTTCACTTCATGTGGGTTGCAATCCTGGAAACTTCACAGTGCAATAAATGCTAGGATTTAAAGACTTCTCCCTGCTTAGCATTCATCTATTTATTTCGCTTTGAAGGTGCTTGTTGCCTACAAACAGCGTCTGGATAAAAAAAAGCTGATCCATAAAAATGGATCTTCACGATTTCACACCATTTTTACACGGGATCCTTGCCAAACCACCATGAAATCGGAGGTATCTGTGCCCACAAATCTACCACACAGAAATCATGAGTTCCTCAGTGCGTGGCTTTCTAATGGTGCAAAACCTTGGATCTAAGCCACAGATCTTAACAGACCACATGATTTTTATGTGGGATCTGCCCTCAAACCACCCTTAAATCTTAGGTCTCATCTGTGAGTTCAAAGTAAAAGGTGATCAGTGAAATCAAGAACAGATTCTTATGCTTTCAGATGATTTTTATGTGGTGTCCTCACTAAACCACCATAAAAATCATAGATCCCATATATGCTCACAGACTACCCCACATAAATCATAGCTTTGTAGTGGCACGAAAACATGGATTTGAGTCGAAGATCCACATTTCATACCATGTTTCCCGGAAAATAAAACAGGGTCTTATATTTATTTTTGCTCCAAAAAACACATCAGGGCTTATTTTCAGGGGATTTTCCCCATGTACAACAATCTACTTTTATTCAAATACAGCCATGTAATTTTCTGGTTGCTTCACAATGCTGAACAGGTTTCACTTAACTGGGGCTTATTTTTGGGGAAGGGCTTATATTACAAGCATACTGAAAAATCACATTAGGGCTGATTTTCAAGTGAGGTCTTATTTTTGGGGAAACGGGTATGATTTCTAGATGAATTCCTCTCTAAACCACCATTGGATCACAGATCCCATCTGTGCCCACAGATTATGCACAGAAATCATTGGTTCTTCAACACATGGCTTTGTAGTGACAGAAAAGCATGGATTTAAGGCATGGATTCTCAAAGCTCCACATTATTTTTACCTAAGATCCTAACCAAACTACTGCCCAAATCTGTGCCCACTTAGTGTACCTGTGTTTGACCTTTGTGCCTCACCTCCACGTTTTCCTCATCTCTTGCAAAACTAAGGAAGTACGAGCATTCACAATTTTTGTTTCCATTCATCACGTCCTACTCTTGCGTCCCTTTCCCTTCTTTTTTCTCTGCTGATTAGAAACGATTGAGATTGGAGTCTCCTTAAGGGCAGGGATCTGAGTTTTGTTTGGCTGTAGGACATATTTGTGCTGGCAGTGTGTTGGGCTGTTTGAGATCATGCAGATAAAGGAGCAAGGTTTTCCTCAGTTTGGATGCCTGCACAGCAGAAAGACAGACACCACCTTCTGATATGCTGGAAGAGAGAAAGAAGAGCCAAAAATAAAATCATTCCGAGAGGCAAAGATGGATGGATGGAGTTGGCACCCACTTGGACTATTGCCAAGAGATCATGGCGGACAAAACTCTGAACTGACCCAGGCAGTCTTTTTCCAAACTCTCATACATGTCCATGACTGGGTGAAGAAGTCGCAGTTTGATCCTGGGGTGTGGCTTGGGGGGGAAACTGAACTTCATCCTTCTCCTCCCTGTCGTTTTGGATGTTTGTATGGAGAGAGAGAACCAGGCACCCTCTCCCCCCCCCCAATCCTGTTTGGCTGCCCTTAAATAAACTCTGTTAAATCTCTGTTGCATTGGGATATCTCATAATAATCCCCACTAGGTCAGGGGGAAAAAGTGGGAGAAGAGGGTCAACTTCCCCCTCCTCATATTTTTAGCACATTTTGGGTCTCCTGCACCTGTCCAGGACCCAGACTCTTTTCTAAGGAAGTGGATCAGCACAGCCCGTCTCCTTTCATTGCTGTGGTTTTATGATCAAGGCATCCCTGCCTGCTGACAGGCGTGGGAAAGTGGTGACCATGAACTGGCACAGAACTGTGTTGCCGTGTTAACCATGTAAACAAACTAGGCTCTGGAATCCAGCAAAGCAACCACCAATTTTTGAATGAAAACTAGTCTTAATTTTCACAGAGTTCAGTGGCGGTTACGTAGGTAGGGCTGCCAACTGCTTTCCTGGCCTGGCTCCTGTGCCTAGAAGTAGCAGCCTGACTATTAGCAAGCCTTCTTTTGATAACATCTGTAAACTTGCCTAAGGGTTATGTTTGCTTCTCACAGACACAAGACACCAGTTCCTCTTTGCTTCCCTTCTCAGCATCCTGGGCTACTTTGCTCTCCTTTTTAACTTTCACTACTAGCCTATCAAGGAAGTTAAAAGGTTCCCCTTGACAATTTTTGTCCAGTCGTGTCCGACTCTAGGGGGCGGCGCTCATCCCACTCTTCAAGCCATAGAGCCAGCGTTTTTGTCCGAAGACAATCTTTCCGTGGTCACATGGCCAGTGTGATTTAGACACGGAACGCTGTTTACCTTCCCACCGAGGTGGTCCCTATTTATCTACTCGCATTTGCATGCTTTCGAACCGCTAGGTTGGCGGGAGCTGGGACA